TGCAAAAACTTGTTCAAATTTGCTCCTTTTGTATACTTAGAGCACATAACCAGTTGAGGAGTTTCCAAATTGAGAACCATTCGATACTTGGCGAACGAACTGTCCTTTTACACGTGGACGTTGCTCGGCCAGCTTCTTTCTGCTTTCATATCTCACCTGTCAATCAAAATTAAAAATATTAGATTCTTGAATATGTAAAATAAAAGCAGAAAAAAAAAAAATCAAGTTAACATGGTTGATCTGTCTCTCAACATAATGTATAAAGGAATGAAGATATATTTAGATGATTTTGCTTGTACCTTCTTCTCGAAGCATCGATCTTTCCTCTTCATACGGAACTTATTTAAAGCGGCTTCTCTCTGCATGGATCGTTTGGAGGCCTCATCATGAACGCAAAAGCTTTCTTCACGACCCGGATTTTCCGAAGGGCCCTTGCTGACGTGGACTTTGTCTTGATTTCTATAGCTGCTGCAATAGTTGCTATTCCCACTATGATCTTCCACATTATTTTCCGGTTTACTTTCTGTCTGATTAACTGAGTTGCCGATTTTTTGATCTAGACCCTGCTGCAAACTCGCCGGCTGATAATCAGACAGGTAAAATAAGCCCGATTGGGGGAAAGACTCGGTGTGGTGAGGTGTATGTGGACTCGACAGTGAGGAAGAGCCTGATTGGGCGCAGTATAGTGAAGGCATCATGGAATTATAGGCGCTGTTTGGATTATCGAATCTTATGCCTTTGACTGGGATTGGATGGAATATTTCTTTGTTCTGAGTGTAAGAGAATGTGATTTCAGGGCATCCTGTTTGGATTGTGGGATTACCAACGTGATTTTCGGGAAGTGATGGCTTGTTAATGTACCTGCAGAAGAGTTTTTTTTACAAATAAAATAAAATAATATGAACTCTATTGCATTTTCATATCTCTCTCAGTTAGTTTGTGTAAAACTTAAAAAAAAAAAAAGAACAAGAAGAAGCAAAATTGCATATAAAAACACCACCTTTGGAGGCTTTTGTAATTTAATCACCACCTTTCACATATTTTGCAGATCGAAGCATAAATTTTGACTTTCGTTAGATTAGAGCTGACTTGGCATAGACGAAACGTCGTAATTTAAACACAAATAGCAAAAAAGTGGTGATTAAATTGCAAAACCTTAAAGGTGGTGCCTTAATATGCAATTTTGCCTAAAAAAATCCCACTAGTAGTTTGTCAATTGTATTGAAGCGAAAATTTTCAGCAAAACTTAGAAAAAACGAAAGACCAAACGGGGCAAAAATCAACTCACCTCGAAAAAGCCGATGCATCCGAGTGGTTTAATTTAGACAAATCATTGTTCGCTCGATTCGCAGAGCCATTGTGAAGAGGTCTTCTCAAGGACAGGTCAAGTAGAGGCAAAATGTCAAACTTGTTTGCACTTACATTCGGATTCAAACTTCCGAAATTGCCCTTCAGGTGATTATCAAAAGCTCCGATTAAATCGATGGCTTCACTACACGGTTTATCCAGGACAGCATGCATTTCTACATGGAGAATGAGAAAGTTGCAAAATAAGTATATTAACTATCAAGTGTTTTGCTTCCATATAAGGTGAAATGATTTAAATAAAGTTTAGAAGAATAAAAGAAAGGAAAAGCCTGTAGGGAACGTATGATATACCTCTGCTCTCGTTTTCATGTGATCGTTTTTCACTATTTACTTGATGAAATTGTTCTTCTTCTCCGCAAGAAAGGCTATTTTTTTCCGAAACACATTTATCCTTTTGTTTCTTTGAGCTGCAATGACCGTTTTCAACATCTTCTCCTTCAGTCTCAGACTCCGGTTTTGTGCATGAGCTCTGTAGAATAAAGTTTAACAACATTATTGCATGAGTTGATAAAAAAACATGTGAACTTTAAGAAGTAGGCTAAATTGAATATAGATTTTATATTATCTAGCAAGAAATTAGAAGAGTTGATATGAAGAAAACATACAAATACCTGATCATCAGTTCCCTCTTCAGTGCACTGCTTATTTCTCTCAATGCATGAAATACAACCACTCGAGTGGTTACTAATGGCAGTGTTCTCAGCAGTAGTTTCATCTTTTTGCTGCACACTCTCGTCTGGAAGTCCGAGCCCAGCACTGGTGCTCGACTGAAAAAAATTATATTTTAAAAAAAAAAAGATCGATATTATATTTTATCGAACAGTGAGGTAAAATTACGAAAAAAAAGCAAGAAAAGTCAATTGTTGTTTGTAGTTTTGTAATATAAATGGATTTTCTGAAATAGGCTAACATCAAGCATTTTCATGTACTTTTTTTTCGAGGTTAGAGCTTACAGCTTGTTTTCTCCACACATGCTGCCATAAGTTCCGTAGCTCGTTTTTTCGGACAGGCTTGACAAGAAAGTCAGATGCTCCTCTCAGCATGCACTTATAAACAGTACCAACGGAGTCTTGCGATGACATCACTGCTTTTGCCGAATAAAAATTGAAACAGAATTTAGAAACTATCCAGTATGCAATTTTAAACGATGGAAATATTTGTCATATTAGCCCTTACTTATTACAGGGATATTTTTGCAGGCCTCATGCTCCATTATTAGAGTGAGAAGTGCATATCCGGAGATCGAAGGCAACTCGACTTCGGTTAGAATGAGGTCTATATTGCATGAACTTCCTTTAAGTACTTCCCAAGCTTTTAATCCATCAGGAACCGTAGCAACTGCCTCACGAAAAAGAATTAAAAAAAAAAAGTCGATTAAATTTACAGCAAGCATCAAACATTTAAGTATTTTGTGTTGCGAAATCTTCGGCTAGTTACTTGACAGTAAATTGCTTAGCTCCTTTGAGACCTTAAATCATGTGCATTCTTTAAACAAAAATTTAACTTTTTCTTAACATGTGATTTAGATTGTGAGTTTGCTTCCAGTTCTGAATCTTATGTACAAAAATATACATTAATGTCCACCATTTACACCAACTTCTAGCTTCCACAGGCAAAACAGTACCTGTTTTTTTTTCATTCTTTTTTTTTTTTT